AAATGCAAATGCTCTTTTATTTAAGTAAGCAATTAAATCCTGATTTGCCAATGCCAGCCTAAGACTCCTTCCCCTGCAGGAGTGTGACTGGTAATCATCAAGATACAGACACACCCTTGTTGTCATAGTGACACAGTATGTTTTCATAACATAATGACTTTAATGAGAAACTACTGACCTTCTGATCCACTGAGCATTGTGTTCTTTCATGCAAATTAATGTTTATGGTTGTGATAAGTCTTTAACTGTTAAATCAAATACCAGTTCTGAATCCATCCACAAATGTTTATCAACTGAACATTCCCACACCTTGGTGATTTGACATCCTAATCAAAGTCTGGCTAGATTTTAGGGTGCTGGCATACAGGCATTGTAGATACTTTGTAGTTTAAAATAATAGCGAGATTTATTATCTCACAGGGTTAGGAACTTTGATAAGTGTAAATAATATAGTACATCTGCCCCAAATTTGCAATACTCACTTACTGACTACAGAATGATTTTTTTTCTAAAAATGGACAAGTAATATTGTTAATTTCCTTATGAGTTTTTATAACGTTTCAGTGTGACCCTTTCTGACATTTTTTGTAAGTCTAATATTTTTTTCTGATCCCTCAAGAAACTTCTCTGTTTATGTACTTGTCATCAAATTGTTTTATCATCCAAAAATTTACTTGATAAAGTGACTTCCAAATATGCACAGAACAAGTGGTCTGTGCATATTTGGAAGTCAAATATGTGTGTAGGATGTTTAGGATCTATAATATGCCTGATCTTCAGCTCATGTAAATCAAAGTGAATGGAGCTATGCCAGTTTGCACTAGCTAAGCCTTGTCTGTAGTTTATACAGGGACTGCAAGGTCCAAAGAGCTCACACTGTCTATAGATAATACCAAAAAAGACAATTGCAAATAGGAGGGGAGCTAAACCAAAAAAAAAAATTCTCTCTGAAGAGGTGATTCACACACTATGTAAGAAGTTAAAGACTTTATTTTCTGTCCGCTGAAGCCAGTGACAGAGTGCTCTTAGAATGAAATAGGAGTAGGATTAGGGGTAACCATAATATCCTATAGAATTCATTCCAATATTACCTAAAGCATTTTGCCTCATGAATGATGTTTATCAGTCTGGGTGTATACACTTACTTACACGTATCATTTTATAGTAATCAAATGACCCATTTAAACTAACTTTTCTTTAAAACAAATAAATACATTTTTTTCTTACATCAGTGACTGTCACATGAGTTCCACGAGAATAATGGATGCTAAATTGCGAGAAGCTGAAGGATGTGCTGAGGACAATTCAGGTAGAGTGTCTACTTTCCCTGTGTATATGAAAGTATTCATTCACTGTTAGAATTCTTGAGTTTCAGTACTGGGCTCCTCAAGGTAGTGATTCTATTTATGTAGGAAATGAGTTTTCTTGCACTCAGAATGATAATTTTGGGACATTTTCAGATGGTTAAATTAAGACACTTTCTCTGTATGAAATTCAGGTGTGGTGTAAATTAGCATAATTCTTTTCACGTCAGTGGACTTGCAGCATGTCTGACTTTTCACCCTTTGCCTCTAGTGACTGTTATAATCTCTGATGTTTGAAATGTGTGCATGATGTCCCTGCAAAATACTTGTGCAGATGTTTGGGTTTTGTTGTTGGATTGCTTTGGGTAAGAAGCGAATTTTTATCCCAAGAAGGTTGGAATTATCCATATTTAAGATCTCTCCCCTCTGAGCAGCATAGCATCACATTTCAAGATTATTGCTTAATTCCTGTTTTAATATTCCGAGAACCACTGAGTTACATAATTACCATTTAAAATATATTGGATTTGTTATAAAACTGATGCTATTAAAGCATTAGCCTCCTGACACTGCATTTTCCACCCAATGTGACATTTTTGCATTTAAATTAGTTTTGCCATTTGGAAACAATTTTGTCCTTATCTTAGAATCATAGAATCATAGAACTGGAAGAGACCTCAGAAGGTCATCAAGTCCAGCCCCCTGCTCTAGGCAGGACCAATTCTTAACTGTTTAGTTTGCTAAACAAAGTATTATAATTCCATCTCTGTAGCCCAGCTAGTTAACAAACAGTGTTTTTTTCTTCATGGTCTATTTATATCAAATCTTATCTGAAAAGGCAGGTAGAAACGGTATTTTAAAAGATCCCATTTCCTGAATTGTAGGTTATTGGCAGCATAGCACATTTTGCCAGCTAATAATAATAATAAGTATCTAAATTCAAGTATCTAAAAGAGTGTTACAAGGAGAAGGGAGAAAAATTGTTCTCGTTGGCCTTTGATGATAGGACAAGAAGCAATGAGTGTAAATTGCAGCAAGGGAGGTTTAGGCTGGACATTAGGAAAAACTTCCTGTCAGGGTGGTTAAACACTGGAATAAATTGCCTAGGGGGTTTGTGGAATCTCCATCATAGAGATTTAAGAGCAGGCTGGACAGACATCTGTCAGGGATGGTCTAGACAGTGCGTGGTCCTGCCGTGAGGGAAGGGGACTGGACTCGATGACCTCTTGAGGTCCCTTCCAGTTCTATTATGATAATGATAATAATAATAATAATAATAATTAATACATTTAGACTTAAAACCTGTTAATACAAAAGCCACTGTGGGCCAGGTTGTCTCTCCTAAGAACTTCTTATAAAGAAATGTTATGGAATATTATAGAGAATTGTGACTTTTTTCTTAGAATTTTAAAACTGTTATATAGACTCTCCTTAACATTTCTTTATTTAGGAAAGAAAAAGTCAAAGTTCAAATCTTTCAAAAAGTTCTTCGGGAAAAGGAAAAGGAAAGAGACCGTAGTATCTTCAGGGAACACCACTCTGAAACCATGCCAGTCAGCTAGTGATGTTACAACCCCAGAGCCCTTGCACCTTGGCTATGATTCTGAAGATGAACTTGAGTAAGTCTTTTAACTGTTATTCACTAACAAATAAGCAATTGCTTGTCCAAGAGACAGAATGATGTTTATGGATTAAATATCCAAGTGCTCACCTCCAATTCGTATTCCCAAAGCCACATTCTCAGGCACCTCATTTTCTTTAGGGAAAATACTGATTGTAATAATGCAAGTAAATATGAGTTAGTGCAACATTACTAATATTTTTAAACAGTCATCTGAGGAAAAATAAGCTTTATGATGAATTTTTTTAAATTACCCAAGCAGGCCAACACAGTTCCCTCTCTGAAAGGGATGTTTATGAATGTTTAATCCATAAACATTATATTTGTGTTCTTCAATACAGAGCTAGTCACTTAGTGGAATCTTCCTAACCTGTTTTGACACTTTTGTAGCTAAATCCCATTGAAGCGAATGAAAAGTAGGTGCCTACTATGCATAGGCACTTCTGAAAATCTCCCTAGGGGTTCTTTCTGCATTTCCAGGGATGTAAATGTTGTTGAAAATCTGACCCAAAGTTCATTTTGAAAATGGAACAAGGGTTCCTTAATCACTTAAGTGTTTTTGAACAATTTTCTCCATTTTTAATCTATAACATGTAAACCATATGACACATATGGCATAACATTAAAACATTGAATTTAATATACATACAAAGGGAAAGGCTCATTATTTGTTGCAATGCACTACTTTGAATAGGGGTAGCTGCTGAGAAAGAAAGTTCTTATTTTAATGGACAGTGAGTACTCATGAACAAGATTCTGGTTATGTCAGAATCCTTGGTTACACAGCCAAGAAAAAAAGATGCTATTTTTGGAGGTGTGTGTAGGTACTGGATATTAAATATTGCAAAATGCACTGTCTATCTAAACAAAACAAGCAATGAGGAGTGCTATGGCACCTTTAAGACTAACAAGTCAAGAAGTGGGTTTTTACCCATGAAAGCGGATGCCCAAATCTGTTAATCTTTACAGTGCCACAGGACTCCTTATTGTTTTTGCAGATACAAACTAGCACCCGTCTGATACTTGTCCATTTAAAGTGTCTTTAGAAAGTGTTACCACTAGATAGCGCCACACAACCAAATAATCTTTTTATAAGAAACCTTACATTTTTGTAGTATTGGCAGTAGTAAGATTCCTCCTGCTTGGTCTTCAGTGTGAAAGCCTGGGGGTTACGCAAGAGTATCTAAAGTGGCAGCCATAGATACAGCAGAGTTGTTGTATTCTTGCTCAACAAAAACCCTTAAGAACACTAATGGTCAGATCTTCTCTGCATGCTCTGTAACTCAGCCTTATCATATTGGAATGTGTGGAATAGCTCTCTGACTTTTTGTTCTCATGCTCTGTTTTTGTTAAGTTGTTGGGGTTTTTTGTTGTTTGTTTGTTTGTTTTTTAATTTTGATATTAGAAACAAAGGCAATTAAATATTCTGACAGAAGAAAAAATTGAATTCTGTCTCTCAAGATTTGTTGGGACATTTTATAAACCTCCAGTGCCCATTTAGAAAGCTCACTTGTCCTGAAAAAAGCTGGAGCAATTAAAAAACACGGATATATGTGCTCATACAACATTGCTTCTCCAGCTATTATTTCAGTCTTGGATAATATAGATGCATAAAGGAACGGTAACAGCCTTGGCTGGCACTTAGCAAACTACTATAGGTTTCTCTCTGACCTTGACTGTGTTATCGAGATCACATTTTCACTTAGCTACAGTTCTTGTAATGTCTCTAATGTTCTGGGCACAAGCAGCAGGCTTTCCTTCCTTCTGCAACTGGAGTACAGATCATCTCTTTCCGCCTATTGTTTTATCAAATATATTTATAATTTTCACTGAAAGGAAATTTCATCCACGTTTATGTTCCCTTATGTCCCTCTAGCTGTTTCTCAGTTTCAGATTACACAATGTTCTGATTTTTTTAAATTTACTGGTAGCAGTGATTTTTTTTTTTTATAATCTGCTGAAGATTTGAATGCTATAAACTAACAGTTGTGAGTCCCAACATTTTACATTCAGTTTTGCAAATGTTTTGGCTTCATTTATTTATTTATTAAAAAAAGGAGGGAAAGAAGAAAATCTAGGTGCGGTAGTAATACAAATAAATAATAACACCACCATCTGTTAAACAGAGTCAGATTCGCAATTGCAAGTATTTTGACTGTGATTGGAAAGGTTAGCAGCCACCCAGTCCTACTACTCTGCCATGCAATTAAAATGATTAGGACAGAGCCTTTAACAACTACCTGAGTGACCCAGGGCAGCACCTTACCGTTCTCAGGAGGAAACAAGACATAGGAGTGATCATGTAAAACATTTGTAGAGGCAGTTACCTGCTACTTCCCTCAGAAACCAGAAGTAAAATGCTAATATCAGAGGTAAATTGAGAGGATTCCCACATCTCTGCAAGCCCACAAGCAAGTGTCCCTGAAAAATTTAGTTTGCAGGTTGCAGGGAGACTAACAGCACTGCATGCATAGGTTCCATATAGCAATTGGTTCTGTGTGTGCAGGTCAGTCTATCAGCCTGGAGTCTTGTTGAAGTCAGTGGGACTCCCTATGAGTAGAAATGTCCAAGCTCTTAGATCCACTTGCAGTATGCAGGCCCATCACCAGGTGGACTCACCGACATGGCACCTCCTTCTGGTAGCACTGGGAATTAGCTCACATACTCACAGGGGGCCTTCCTTTGTCAGTGTCTCCCCTTGTCCTCACTTCTCTCTCCCTTCCAGACCCGTGGCGTCCTCTTCAGGACACTGCCCTCCTGCAGTGCCCACTCTAGTGTCTCTCGACCCCCTTCCAGGGGGTGGGGTGTTTATGAGTCTCTGCACTCCAGGGTCCTCCCTTCCCAGGGAACACCCAGTTCCCCTCTACCCTCCTTGCCTCAGTGACCCACTGCCAGTCTTCATCTAGCCCCTGCCACAGGGGCAAACTGCAGTCTGAAATGGCCACTCATCATTGATAAGGGTGTATGGACCTGCTGCCTTTGCCTACCCTGGCTGCCTCTCTGCAGCCCTAATAGCCTCAGGCCCTGCAGCCTGGGAGCTTGCCTGGCAAGAGCTTCCCCAGGTCTGCCTTCCTTCCCCAGCACTGCTCTACCTCCAGGGACCCCTGCTGTCCAGCCAGAGCAAGAGCAAGTCCTCCCCTCTCCCGTCAGGAGCCCTTCTTTATATAGCCTCAGCTGGGCCCTCAGTAACAGTACCCGCCTCAGCTGGGGCTTCGCTCTCAGCCCTTGCTCAGGGCTGGGTTTTTGCCCTTAAAGGGCCAGTGCAGAGGCAGATGTCCTATCACAAGGCCATAATGCCAAGGCCTCAGCTTGTTCTCTCCCACAATATAAATTGCCCCACCATCTCCACACAGATTACCATCTTTAACCTAGCCGATCCCAGGGGATCCATGTCTAGAAACAAGTCCCATATAGCCAGTGGAGTTAGGGATGGAAGACTGCCACATCAGAGTTGTGCTGCTAGGATTCCCCTCTTTTCTCTCCCACGGCTCCCCATGTCATGGCTTTCCTCAGAAAGAAACAAATCGGTGAAGATGTTAGTACAGTCTAGTAGAGGGGAAATCTGTATATGGAGAACCTTATCAGGACTCGAGAGTGTAAAAGGGAACAAATAGTGCACACAGATGTGTAAAATTATTCATGGATAAACCTTATAGCTTTAATAGAGAAGAAACTAACAGCGTTCCATATAAACTATTTTTAAAAACACTTAGAATTGAATTAGAAAACAAAATCCTTTCTATAGTTCCCCCCCCCCTTTTCATTCAAAATCTATGTAATTCTATAGGAGGGATGAAGCAAAATACAGGACTATGTAGCACTTTAAAGACTAACAAGATGGTTTATTAGATGATGAGCTTTCGTGGGCCAGACCCACTTCCTCAGATCAAGTAGTGGAAGAAAACAGTCACAACCATATATACCAAAGGATACAATTAAAAAAAATGAACACATATGAAAAGGACAAATCACATTTCAGAA